GGGCTCCTCCGGCCCTTTGCAACAAGTCTTACCCACTGTCTCTTCTTTCCTACCTCCACGCACTCCACCCCACCCCACCCCACCCTCCGCGTCTTCGCTCGCCACTGCTCCAATCAATCTGACACTGCGCGGGAGAGAATACACGGCCACTATTCGGCCTCCCCACCATCGCGTCAACGAAAACGGGCCTTAAACAGATCAGAACGAGGCCTCGATCTCCGCCAAGGCGTCGCGCAGGTCCCCTTGGACGCAACCGAGCCGGCCGCGCGCGCCCGACGGCGCCGTCGCGATGCCGACCGGGAGATCGCAGGAGGTGGTTTTCGGAGCTGCGCTGCGCCCTCCAAGCGGGGGAGCGAGACACGGCTCACAACGGGATTCCGCCACCGGCGAGGCCGCCCACGGCGCGAGGGCGATCCCGAAGAACAGCGGGGGCCAACGGGAAGCGTACGGGGGCCCAATTCTCGCGTTGTTGCAATTGGAAGATTTTCTTGGCTGCAGAAAAGAACGCTGGTCACGCAACGGACACGCCTGTGGGAAACAGACCTGAGAGACTCTTTTCCAGCCAAAGGTTAAGTTGCAGGATTGTCCAAGTGCAACAGGCATGTAACGCAACGCGAAGTACAGCGGGTGGTTGGCCCCTCGCTTTCCCAACCCCATTTCCACACCGCGGACACTCCCGTGGACAGCCCGACCATGTCCGACATTCGCAATCGCCACCCCGGCCTCAAGCGCCGTCGCCCCACCCCGGTGCTGCCGCCCACCCTCGACGGCGGTCTCTTCCTGACGATCCAACACTGCAAACCCCCCTCTCCCGACGACATGCCCTATAGACGTGGCACGTCGATCGCTCATCCCCCCCCCTCCTCCAAGACGCCAGTTCGAATCCCCCCCCCTTCTCTTCTCCCAGCCCGATCGGCAGATGCAACCCCAACCAAGTCCCGGCCACCCCACCTGTGTCCAGAATCGTCCCGTCGAGGTCCCAGATCACGAAGGCCACCGCGCGCACCGGAGCGCCATTGCCCACATCGCCCTCCACCATCGCTCCCCGCTCCGCCTCGCCCGCGCTGCCGATCGCTGCCGCCGGCCGGCGCACGTCGATTGACCGCCGCGGGGGGCGTTCCTCTGGCAGGAGACCGGGGGGCTGGGCGGGGGCGCGGAGCCGTGGGCGCCTGGGGCTGCCTGTGGGTGTGGGGGATTCGGTGTTGGTTTCAAGTACCCCGTGGCCATCGTGTAACGCTCACGGTAGCGCCAAGGACACGATGTCACACATATGCGATCCACAGGGACTGTGCTATCGATCCCGATCCCGCCAACCTCGCAGGAAAGGTGCCAAAAACAAAAAAAACAAAAAAAAATAGTTGCCCTCAACCGAATGCGAAAAGCCGCAGGAGCAGGTTGGGTTAGGGGACTTTTATGTCTTCCGATTGGTTTCGGGTCTCAGGGGCTGTACGCCTCTCAAGCCTGTGTTTTCAAGACCAGCAGCTGCTCCAAATTGTCCAAAATGTGCTTAACACTATTGCTGGAAAGCATGCCACAACGCTCAGTACTTTGTAGTACTTAGGTAATCATTTCTTCCCTGAAAAAGCGTTGCCTTCTCTCCTGTTGTCGAAGGGCCAATATTGAATATATAGTTGTCCTCCGTTGCGTGCATCAATTTCGACCGGGCTCTTGAGCTGAATCTTGACCATTCCGGGATTTTCCAGCTGACAAGCGATTTCAGTAGACAGGTCGTTGAGCGGGTTTCTCTGCTCTGCATCTGTTAGCTTTGGATGGCTTGCACGACGAGCTTGATGCGTTTGAGAAGCAAATTTAAGAAAACTGTGTTTGAACTCATGCTACAATGTCAGGATCCAAGGTTGAGGCACGGGTCAGCAGTACTGCGCGTCTCATGTGCTTGAACATGTATTCTTGCACTGCGGTAAGAGATGGCTGTGTGGAGAGGCTGAAAATTTCGTTTCCTTAACATACTGCGATTTGGGTTGGTGCAGCAACGTCGCGGACGAGTGCATGTGAACTCTAGGAAATTCGCCCTCTCTGGTCACAATCAATTTGGAAAGATGCGCTTAATCAACAATGCCGTAGCGATGCGTGTGGAAATTTCGAGGCTTCTTGAGCACACTGGTTTGGAAAATGGCCCAGGCGACGAAATTTTTGTACTCTACAATTATATATAACAAAACAGAGAGACTAAATGCTTGCCTCTGAACACCCCTTTTACTTTTTCTTCAGAATCGTTACAAAACAGACAGAATACATGCTTGACGCTGAATACCCCTTCCCGTGCTGGCTTGAACAGATTTTCCCTTGCAAGTGTGCTCCGTCTTTGCAATTGCAAAGACAGAGCACATCAAACATCTGCGTGAGCAGGCCCAGCTGCAGTCGAACCCCTTCTTCAGCACCTTCTGGTTTTACTCATCCATTGAGCTAGCGCACTCGGCATTTCCGGTGCAAGGTGCTCATGGTTCTTACTCGCGGTGCTCATGTCACTGGGACAAAAAAGCCCAAATAACACTTTTGCGAACACACATAAAACACATTTCATCAAAGTTCTGCGCGCTAATACACGAAAGAAACACAAACCCGTAAACTTTGCACACGTCTGAACACGTGTTATTTGGCCCTTTTTTCCTAGTGTGAAGAGCACGCGGCTTTCGTACTTGTGTGCTGGCGATGCGCGCTACCGACAGTTGGATGGGCGCTGGGTGTGGTGCTCCGGTGCATAAGCGTGAGATGAAAATTCGCGAACCTTGAAGAGCACTGCACCAGTTCCATAAGTCCGGTGGGACGAGAAAGCGCGTCTGGCTGCCAGAATCTCAAGTGCACATGCGGGAATCTCGGTATACCTTATTTGTGTAGATTGCCGGCATGTCTTGATCCCTTGAAGTCATTTTACAAGCTCTGGCAAGAGTTGTCGTTGTTTTCGTGCGCAAACAGCGTTGTGCCGAAATGTGAGTGCCCGGGCTCGGCCACGGTCTCCGCACCTCCAGCATCGCTACAGCTTCCGCTCCATTGATGTACCCAATGCCGGTTTACATTATTTGAAAATAGTGATCTAAGCATGAGTCGTGCACAGCCGCAAGGCCGATCTGGAGCGTGATGGAGATGCTGCAGACTATCTGTTTTTCTTATTGTTTTCGTCATACTGCTGTCAGAAAGAACGAATCTGAAACAAATCTGCAACAAACATTCTTGCAATGCTTCGCATAGGGTCGATCCTATTGACGTCAATAATACATTTCTAAATCTAGCAAGAAAACCACGACTTTGGCATGAAAGGAGCTTCACCAAAACTGTTCTCTCACCTGCCCGAGATGCCAGAGACACAACAGCGGTAATGTATCTCTGGATGTCGTTTGTCTGAATCTTGCCCTCTTCTCTCATGAGCCGGCTCTTCGCTGGGACGAACTCTGTTGCAGTGACAGCAATGCGCATCCAGGGGTATAATCAACAGCGGTGGCAGATTGATGGTGCGCTCTTGCCAGGAGCCACAGTTTGAATCCCAATGATCCTTAGAGGAATTGCAGGGCCACCGGAATCCCTGCAAGGCGAGGGGCAACACGTGGCTTCCATCAGCAGCATTTGCTCCAGCGTTTGTGCTCCTTCAGCGTTGGAAATAGGCTGCCTATGGCCTCCTAGACACTAGGAAAAAAAGGATCAGATAACACTTTTTGCAAACGCATGTGTATGCAATTCATCAGTGTTCTGCACGCTAAAAACAAGAAAATAACTCAAAACCGTAAACCTTGTATACGGTTGAACGCATGTTATTCGGCCTTTTTAGTATTAGTGAGAGTTGGAGGAACTGTCAGCGAAAATTCGTACCCAAGCTGCTTCTGTAGATGTTTGCCAACGACGTAGGGTTACATTGAGCATTTTTCACACAAAACACAGCTGGTGGGAAGCTATTCAAGCTGAAAACAGGTGTGTTGGCACTTGCAACCTCAACAGGCAAATAAGGTGGAAGTGAAGAATGAATGAGTTTGCGTGAAATGTGCAAGTGGTGTTGGTTGAGATGGTGGTTGGGTGAGCTCACTAATCGCAAGAACATCATGCACATGTCAATGCCAACAATCACCCTATGAGTATGGCACTGAGTCGTCGGAAGAATTCTACTTGCTCGATTTGCAGTGTTGTTTGCACAAGCCCAACATGTTTGCTGGGCAGCAATGGCTCAAGCTTCGGGTCAGCATGCTGAAAGATTCGATGAACTACGGGCATTTGTCGTCGCACAGCAGAAACGACGCAGGCCGCACCTCACCTTTCAATGACGAACCGCGTTTGCATTGGTCCTCAGTCTTCATGGCCAACCCCAGAATCGAAGCGCGTTGCCCAGAGAATGGGTCATTCTTTTTGTAGAGTTTTCCGCTCGCGCGCCCACCGAAAGAAAGAGGGAGAAACACAACTTTGATGACACACCGACACGCCGACATGGGCGTCAAAGGCGCCGTCTTCCGACACAGCGTCAGAGGGTTGCCAACAAGGTCGCAAAGCGTGTGTCTCGCGGCCGTCCGTCCCAGGCGGCCGCGCCTCTCTCCGTCGCTACCACAGCGCTTTCGTGTGCCGATCCTTTCCGCACGCGCATCCAAACCTCCCAGTACCCCTCCCTTTGAGGAGAGCGGATTCCTCAGGTGCGCATCATGGAGTCGGCCTACGTGCCTCCCCACCGCCGCGAAGAGGAAGGGGGTTCCTCGAGGCAGGGCCGGCGCAGCCTGGCGGAGATGCACGCGCCGGAGTTTGTCGAGGTGGGCGGCGGTGGCCGGTGGCCGATCGGCGTTGGGTAACCTCGATTCTGTCCTGGCCGCACGGCCTGCCCGTCAAAAATGTACTTGTTTGCGGCAGACAAGGGGACGATACAAGCAATGGTCACCCAGCCTCCTCAGAAACGGAGTTTGTTGGAGGCGTGTCTATGGAGTGGAGAAGATGCTGTACTATATTCCGGTTTGGGGATCAACAATTCTGGCCGGGGCGCACAATCTTCCCACAGAATATTGTCGGTCCAGCAGACAGGGGAACTCGTCAGGATATGGAAAATCAACCTCCTCAGAAACAGGGGTTTGCTGGAGTCATGTCTATGAGGTGGAAGATGCTATGCAAGGCTTTCGGGTGGTAGTGAGCTGCGCCAGTTGCGAGATTGGTCGGTTTGGCTCGGAATGATCAAATCCCCGCAGCCCGATTGGCATCCTGTGCGTCGTCCGATCCACGCAGCAAGAGAATCCCGCTTGGGCATGGCGTCCCGGGTCGTCCGAAGACGAAGTTTAACGGAAACTCTCGCTGCTAGAGGCCGTTTTCCGTAGCCTTGAACGAAAAGGCTATTGGTCTGGGCGCCGGCGATCTTCGCTGCCGAACACCCGCCTGTTTCCTGTGATGATGACATTGGACCTTTGGGTGCACGCGAGCAGCCACACCTGCGATCTTTGTCTCTCCTCGCATCAGATCCATTTTACTCCCATCCCTGCTACAGGAAGACAATCACAGGAGAAAGAAACAGGCAACACAAACTGAAAGATGAAGATGATTTCCCACCTTTTGGGGTCTTAGGGCAGGGGTTTGGAATGCTTTTGCACAAGTGAAGCTATGTACAAGTCCACAATACCTTAAAGAGACTTTGTTGCACTGATTGAGTTCCAGTTGGGAGAGTAAACTGAACGGATACACTTGCATTTCATGATACAAAGCGCCTCATCGCCCAGTCAGCAGATCAGTGCATCAAGCGGAACAGTATGGTGAAAACACACATCCAGCTCCTGCCAGGCAAACCGGCAACATCTGTACCAATTTATTCCAAGCGACCCCCTGCTGGTCTGTTGGTGGACCAACAGACCAGCATCCGATGAGTGCGTGCAAAGGTCAGTTGGTGACCGATGAAAGTGTTCAAAGTGCCCCTGGAACTCTGCAGAGGGGTGGTGTACACCACTGTCGCTTGTTGGCAGCATTGGTGGGGCCCTTCTGGTGCCATCTTGTCATTGTGAATCTGATGCATTTCAGTGTAGTTCTCAGTGCTGACACAGGAAAACATGACCACCTTGCTTCACCACCTTGCATACGAGGGAGGAGTCGTCCATTATGTTCCCAAGGGGCCACACATGGCTGTAAACAAATCGCTGTTTTTAACATGTTGACAAGTCGAGGATGCAAAGCGTGGTTTGGGTTTATATTGTTCAACACAGAATGTTGGGGCAGCTGTGCAATGCTCTTCACTGGTACCATCCCAGGGCAACAGTCAGATAACCAGCTGATTGCATCTGTCACAAATCGAAGTGGAATTGAAAGGACATCTGTGAACAAACAGTATCGATATTTGAATTGAATCTTGCCCAATACTATTTTGCTGTTGCAGGGAGGCCGGTGTTTTGTCATTTTCTGGCAGAGGTGACAAAATGTCTCTATTGTCATTGTTGCAGATCATTCTGGAGAAGACACCAGACGGGCCATTCAGTCTGGAGGGGTGCCCTGCAGAGGTGGACAGCAACCAAGACCCCATCGTGGTGAGGAAAATGCTCTTCGTCTGGGACTTACCTCAATTTAGATGCCCACTGGCGTAGCCTTGGGGTTCCAATGCCAAGTCTGAGGGCCCCTGAGCCTGAAACTTGCTCAATGGTTCCACCAGTGAGAAACAGCTATGTGCAGAACATTTTTGACGTTGTGGACAGTGCTTCACATCGCCTGATAGGCGTGAGCACAGTGCATTGCTAGATCTTTGACAAATGTCAAAGCCAATATATGTGCTTGTGGGATTGTGCAGAGTCATTGGCCTTTCACCCTTTCGGCGATGTCAGGTGCTTGTTGAGTTTGGTAGCGGATAAACATAAAGTGTTGTTTTCTGCATTCCTCTCACTGTAGAAGACATGTTCTGTGTTTGTCACAACGATGGTAGCATGTGCAGATATCTTAATCCATATGCTTGAATTTTGCATAAATTTTTAGGGGAATGAGATAGTAGCACAAACAACGTGCCAATCGACGTTCACCTCTGCTGAGGCCAGCTCATCCAAGGGTGTGTCGACTGTGTTCAGATTCCTGGGCAAGAGATGTGCAGAAAACCAGACATTCAGATACCAACAGCATAGATGGCATAGTGCCGATCATCGCTTGGGTATCCACATCACACTGCAGTCCTTTTGCTCAAGCCAGTGTCTCTTCAGGGGGTTGCACCCCATAAACCCAGTACCGAACTACTAAAGTGCCTACAATTTTGTCAAATTGCCTTATGGGTGCAAGGACGGTGGGTGTCATGTTGCAGCAAATTGGTTTCCAGGTTGTTACCATGTGTTGGTGTAGTGTACCAGCAAGCAGAGCCATGTTACTGGCAAAAGGTTAGTTGAAGGGTCTTGACTGCACTCTGCAGCTGCACGTCGCCTACACGAGGGAGGTGGAAACAATGCGAAGGGTGCTTCAGTGGTTCCACACAGAGAGCTCGCGAATCAGCGAGGAGTTCCCAGACGGTGACACTGGGTGAGCTTTTGCTTCAGATCTGTCCTTGTTCCGGGTGGCTGGCTGTGACACATGTGCTGGGTTTTGCTGCACTGGGCAGTTTGGCAATGTAAGCATGAACATGTGATTAGGGTGGAGAAGAAATGTGGTGGGCAATGAGATGAACTGTTTAACCAGATCATAAATCATTACAAGCTGTGCTCACAATGTGTATTCCTCTGATGCTGGTGCACGATTGAGGCGCCTGTGGAGCCATCTGACAAAATCATGGGGTGTGCACGTCTGTTAATTTGGGTTGCTTTTGCAGCAGGCAACAGATGAAAGAACTGGTAGGAACCAGGACCAAACAAGGATAAAAATTGCTGTACTTCTTGTGATGGGTTGTTTCTCTACCATTTGCTGATGGGCACATGGACTGACAGAATCAAATTTCCTTGCATTTCCCATAGTGCAACTTGTTATTGGCCACATATTTGATTCATCGGTACAATGAATGGAGCAACATTGTGTGCACCATTGTCCTGGGGTACAGAGAAGGCAGGGGTGTGTGAAGAATGGTCACAAGCGATTGGACTTTGTGGGCATGGAAAGATCCAAGAAAGTGCACCTTATTTGGCAAAGGTGTTGCTGCCAGGTTAGATTTTCAACAGTACAAATAGGAGCACATTTGGCCAATGTTTTCTTGGCTGCAAACCACAGTTCTGAATGATGGGATCTATTTCTCCCCCCCCCCGCCTCCCCCCCACCTTCCTTTCTCCCTCAAAACCCCACTCACCTCCAAACCCACGAACAAGGGGGGCAAAATGAAGACGGAGCATGAATTCATACACAGATGTCCAGTGCAGTGTGCAACGTCAGTGTGCGACACGGATTGTAACTGTGGGTTCATGTTGGTGAAACACTCTGCAAGCGCGCTGCAAAAGCTCTGTGCCTTGTGTTCATTGTGACACTGCCACGACTCTGTGTTCATTGTGTCAAAACTTCAGCACTGACATCTGCTGAGCACGTCATTGCTGCCATTTTGGCGAGCAGTTCACCTGTTCACAAGTGACAGTTTCTTCTGCATCTTATTTGATTGCTGGCATTCGTGAGCAAGGCTGATCAATTGCAACTGAGTTCTTTTCAGCGGCTACCATCTTTGCAGATCAGGATTTGCAGAACTGTCTGGCGATGTTGCTACTGCATGTCGTTGGAGATAGTTTGCAAATTAAACTGCGATGTGTACTATGTGATATTTTCATTTTGTTTCCTGCTCCAGTTCATGCTGTAAACTGCACTCTGTTGCATGTTGCTGGTGCGGTTGAGTTCTCGCATATGCCGTGTGTCTCTTAAGTGTTCATGTGTGTTGGGTTGCAGGGCCAGTTTGACTCTGCCATCATTCTTGAGCAAGCAGGACAGGGCAGCGTGGCACCACATTGCAGCAGACCTAAAGCTTGGATCGATGTCAGAGGTATCTCATCCCACACCACCATATTTTCCCTATCATTTGGTTGATGTTTGGGTCATATTATTTCTGTAGTGTGTTTTGAATATGCTTATTGCTGATATTTTTGGCAATTGTTGTTGCCTCCTGTCAATCACTTTACCAGTGTCTTGATCACTGAGCATCAGTGAATACCAAAGGCCAGACAAGTTCAGGCTTTGATTTCTACTTGACAAATGCTTGTAAGTGGACTAATGCTCCCCAATGTTCTGTTCTTGGTCCTGCTCTGCAGCATGTGTCTGGCGCAGTATGGCAGCACTTCAGTGCTGTTGTATGTTGCAATGGTGCAGGACACTTGAACAAAGGGTATAGGGCACTTGCTGAAAAGTTTGACACAGTAATTTGACAACACAAGCAATGGCGGTGCTGTCCGATGCACTTCTCCTACTTGACCAGCACTTGACTCACCTTGGCGCCAGGGCACTGGTGAAGATCGACACCTGAAGATCTTCACGGCCAGCCACAAGGCCACAGGTAGCTGTGAGCTTGACCTCACTGAGGACCAGTTAAAGGAGGTCAAAAAGATCTGGAAGTGGTGCCAGATGGAAAGGGGGCGCTTCGCAAGCATCAGTCAACAGGAGATCGGACAAATGATGTTGTCTCCAAACGGGCTTAGCGAAGAGCTTCGCAGCCTTCAGAGCAAATTGTGAGTGTTCTTTTCTGGACCAAAATCTCAGCCAAAAGAAGCCAACTTATTTTTTTGGCTTCATTTATGTGTCGTTATGTGTCTTATGTGTCGTTTTGAACTGAAGGTGATGGAGTGTTAGCATAACAATTGCTATTCAGCATCTGGGATAGGTGAAGAGATGCTGCCAACAAAGGGCGTCAGGGAAAAGTTCAAAGGCTGAAGAACGAATTGCAAGCGGGGAACCTCGTGGGGTGGTTGATGTCTTTTACATTGCATAGAAGGTTTGCCAGGTGCCACAGGGACCTTGGGATGAAGTTATGTGCCAAGCAGCGACTGTGTGCAGGTTACAGCCCTTCGATGTACTGCCGCAGTGCGCTTGTGTCACATTTATTAATGTTTCAGCCCGACGAATGGTCCAAACAAAAATGGTTGCAGCAGATGCTGTAGGAGGACATAGAAAGTCTATGTGTAGTGCAGTATATATTGTACAAGGCATATGTATGACATATGACATATGTGACAAATAGCACATACGAAATCTGGAAAAGCAGGCTCGGAAAATGGGCTGTGTTGATGTTGTCCAAGCCTGCATTTTTAATTGTCTTAAAACATTAAAGGTGTCTTTGCAAGTGAGCAAATCTTGAAACAAGGGATTGGGTTGCGTTGAGTGTTGGGTCAGCCTGCTTCTGGGCACTCAAGTGGTGGTCAAGATTTAATGGAATGCTTGCATTGTCAACAGTAGTTGAGGTGAAGTCTTGGCTGGATGGCTGTCATCTATTTTGATGAAACCTTGATCGGTCACGATGTCAGATTTGCTTCTTCTGTTCATTTGCTGCTGTTATCCCTCCATTTACCATCAATGTACTTCATTTCCTTGACAAGTATCAATGAATGCAGAATTTGATTTCGTTTGGCACCCCATCTTGAAGAGGCCGCATCTTGCCTTATTCTAAAGAATCGTGTCTTGTCATGTTTTTGTGTTTTGTCTTATTCCTTATATGCCTTACTTTGGAATAAGTATCTGAGCGCTCAGGCTTCACCGCATTGAGTTGTCACAAATCATGCAATTCCACTCTTGCAAGTTCGTTCAGACGTTGAGCGGAAACGAATCAAGAATAAGAGAATTAAGAAGAAGTTTGTTGCTCGGTGCGCAGGGAGCAGGCACGGCAGGTGGCGCAATACCTCCAGCTGGGGGACATGAACGGTGCTTCGCAACTCTTTGGCAAGAATCGGGACTTGGTGTGGTGTCGTGATGAAATCACTGGTGGCTATCCGATACATCTTGCTTGCTGGCATGGCATGACCGACCTGGTCGACTGGCTGGCCCAGTTTCAAGGTAGCACTGAAAGTGATGTGACTCGGAAAATGAGCAAGTCCGATTGTATGGTGCAGATAGTGCACGGTGCAGGAGGCTCTTCATAGGAATGAGCGATTCCTGCCCTGTTTGTTGGGGTGTAGCAAATGCAATCCAATTGGATTGATGTTTGTGCAGGGCGTGTATGTGTGTGACATCAATGGATCCTTGACAAAAAAGCACCCAATACAAAATGGGCATTCCACATTGAGGTAATGTCATGTGGTGTCTGTTGCTTAGAGAGTAAGTAGTACAGAAGTGCTAGCAGGACGGTCGCCCAATTGATCATCTCAGGTGGTGTGTACGTGTGTGTGGTGGGTGGGATGGGATAGTGGGCTGTAAGTTGCCGAATTCTGATTGCAGAACGTCTGTGGGACTACCCTACACCAGAAACCTGCCACAATGAAACCCTAGATATTTAATTCGGAAATGGACTCCTTAGCAGCACTGTCACTGCAGATTCCACTGCCATTTACGTGCAAGGTGTTGATCTGGAGCCCCCCCTTCCAGGCTTTGTGCGTCCTTTGAGGTTTGCGCACTTCAGCACTGCCTGTTGCTTTGTGGCCACTGACCAAGGCGATGGCAAACTACCATGGTCGCACTTAGTGCGCACATACTTGGACCAAGCAAGGGCCACTTCACAGCTGTTACTGGAGTGGGTTTATCTTGAGGAGAGCGCGCCCATATGCTGTGATATCAGCTTGACACCCCTGAGCTGCTCCAATGTATGTAAATCTTTAATCTGGGCTTTCCTGTTTCCCTGTTTCACCTAATGTGAAACGAAATGTGTGGGGAATTGTGTCTTTTCCTGCCGTAGAAGGTGCAAGAGCAGTGCTTTATCTCTTATCGACCAAGACAATTGTAAGATAAAAACACTTAACAGCTGAATTTATTCTACATGAGACGAAAAAAGGAAAAACCAATTATACAATCATATAATATATCAGAATAACGATTGACTCGTGAAACAGATCACATGGGGATCAACTGACTCAGGCAAACGCCGTGATGGGACTCCGCTGCACTTGCACGCAGCTTCTTTCCTGATGCAGTTGGTGCTCTGGTGGCCTACATTGGGGCTGTACTGATGCGCATCAAGACGATCTCATTCATAGCCAAAATTTTGTTACCGTGATGCATATGGATTTATCTTGCCATTGGCAACTGAGCTAATGAGGAATGTGGCTGGTGGCTCAGGCATGGTAAAAGTAACGGACGCCAGCTATGCCACCCCTGTGGACGTTGCAAGGGCCAAGGGCTACACAGACATCGTCGACATTTTGGTCCAGTATGGTGCCCCGAGCGAGGAGAATGGAAGGCTGAAGTCAATGCCCCACCTCCAACGGCCGCGGTACAACTCCTTCAAGTCGGATGAGCATCGGGACATGTAAACTAGCGGGGCACTGTCGTGGGGATCAGCGGGGGCTGCAAAGAGCGAAACAAAGTCACGAAAGCAGAAACCAGCTCTCAGAGCAACAAGTCAGCAAACCCTGAAAAAGAGAAACAAGAGAGTAGAAGATCAAGAAAGAATGCAGAAACAGAAAGAAACAAAGAACAATGAGGAAGAGTACTTCCTGCTCTTAAGCGCCCAAGGCGTAGCACCTGCATCGGGATCTGGACAGGGCGCTGCAAGTGGAGCAGCGCCCAGAGCATCAGCGGCGGTGCGCCACGTTGAACGGCCCATGCTGGTGCCCAGGGCCGTGAGGCTGAATAACAGGGGTGGAGAAAGCACAAGGAGTGAGTCAGGCAGGAGCGAGAGGTCCAAGCAGGTGAATGAAAATTGAATTGGACTTCTGGAGCATGTTGATCGAGTTGAGCAAGTCTATTGGAGTCGGCTTGAAATCGGAATCGACCTCATCGAGCTGATGCCATTTGCATTCGGTTGGGACAGTACAATTGTTAAGTCATGTATACAGCTTTTTTTGACCGTTGATGTGTCACTTGGGGCCATTCCTGTCAATCATCTTGCTACAGCCCCAATTGAGCTTCACGAGAGCATGGCTTTCATCTTATGTTGAGAACTAAAGCCATGGTCACTGTGTGCATAGCATATGTCAATCAGCCATGATCCCAGGAAAAGCACATTCTCTCTGTACTGTGAAGATCAACAGTATCAGATGGACAATGAGAGATGAGCAAGAAACCAAATTCAGAATGCATCTATAAGCAGTAGAATCTCTTCTGATTCTGGAAGCCGTCCAACAGGTAAACAGCGATGGGTCGTATTACAATGACGAGGCTGGGCGGTACGAATGGAAGGATCCCACTACGGCGGAGGTGTACGTGTGGTTGGGTGGGAAATATGTGCTGGAGGCGCAGGTGCAGAACGTGACCGGGGAACAAGCAAGCACCACGGATGGCGACCACACTGCTGCCAACAGGCAGGTGAGCTTCACTGCCAGCAACAGAGCCGAATCGGAACAGAACAGCTGTGCTGAAAGTGGAACGACGTCAACAGAGGCGAGTGCTGCTGGGGCATCGAGTGCAGAGGGGGGTGCAAAGCCAGTATGGAATGAGGCCAAGCATGAGTGGGAGTACCCGGGGTTCCCTGGGTGGCGATGGAACGAGGTCACACAGCAGTGGGAGGAGTCGGCAGGGTCCCAGCCGCAAGTGCCAGATGCGGGCAGCTCCCGGGATGCTGCAGCAGCTTCGACACAGAATGTTGTTGAAAAAAATGTGGGTGCCGGGGCTGACCTGTTGCACATTCCCAATGCCACTGTTGGTGACGTGGGGGAGTGTGGTGCTGCTGGGGCGTCGGCTGAGGTGCATTCGGTGGCAAGTGGGGCTTCAGAGGGGGCTGCTGGGTGTGCTGGGGATGATCAGCATGGGTGCACGTGGGACGCCACCTTGAAGCGGTGGGTGAAGGACGGGTGGTCGTACAATAATGAGTCCAAAGCGTGGGAGCGGCTGTGATGTCCCAATGGGGCCATGCATAAGGGATTGGTGGTATTCGCTTGATTGCATATTGTGGACCATGAAAGGCCACATTCAGGAACTCATGAGGTGATGCAGGGCACAACATGCCCATCAGCAATATGCATTGCTTCTAATGTGATCCCTACCCTTGGATGAGGTGCTGGCAGTATGATGGGGGAGTGGACTGTTTCCTGGCAAGTTGGTGTGTTGTAAGATAGGGTGGAAGGGGAGGGAACTGTGGAGGGCTGCAGAGACGGAAATAGGCTGCCATAAGTGCGGCTTCAGACGGAAAATAACCTGACAAGGATGGGTTGCGAGCATGAGCAACGCAGGCTGTTTGAGGCCATCTTCTGCACTCCGATTGCCATATTGCAAGGCAGGAGATGTTGTGCGTTGATCAAGTGTTCTGGAACGTGAACAAACTGTGCTCTTGCGCCTGCCGTGGCGATGTTCAACATATTTCAACGGCCAAGTTGGCCGTGGAAGCCAGGAGAGGAACGGACACTGCGACGCCCAGCATGGTGCACTCTCCCCGACCTTCCCCTTGTTCCTGATGATGAGGAGACCAACGAGAGAACTGCACGTGTGCTGATTGCGCTGCACACGAGCCAACAACGGTGCAGAAGGCAGAATGGCTACAAATCCACTTGCTCCAGCTCTATCGCATTGCCATACACAGGCACAAGTGCTGGCAACTAACTTGCAGCGAACTGAGCACGTAGCGTAATCTTTTTGTGAAATAGTTTATTTTTGTGCCAGTCATACCACCACAAGCAACGGCCACAGACCAATGTGCAGTGCTGCTGATGGGAGTGACGTCAGAGGTCGTGCCCGTGACTAAGCGGACAATTCAGCGCCATGTTGTGCAGAAAGTTGTATGCCATTCTACACGACTTGGTTCCTTGGCGAGTGGTGAAAAATTGCTGTAGATCGAGTATCAGTAGTGCAGTAGTGCAAATAGTGCTACATGGAACAGAAAATCGTCGCCTTGACCGCAATTTGGGTGTTTTGTTAGGCCAGCACATGGCCATACTTCCTAACGCTTGCTCGTGGCCAGAAATCTTGTTTCTTTTCTCTTGTAGGCCACGTCATGTGTGCAGACGACATTGCAGTAGCATTTCGCTGTCCGACGGGTTGCCGACCTCCACCTCCCGCAACAATTTAGATTTGTTGGCCTGGCACAAAGCTGTCATGGTGACATCTTTTTCAGACAACAGAAGTCATTCAACACGTCACCAGACACAAGCTCCTATCCAAAGCTCCAGCGCTGGATAGAGAGCAACTTTTCAGGACAGCGATGGCGTTGGCTCTATTGATGTCGTCGTTTGAAGTTTGCCATATGCAGATGTTCTATGAAACTCTTGCTACCTTGCATCTACCTTTTGACCAAAGAAGATGAGCAAATCATATGCATTGCAACTTACCTATGATTTGAAAGTTCAAATCGTCAAAATGTTCAAACCAAGTTTGGACCTTGTGTTAAATATAATGGTCAGCATTGGAGAATAATGACTTCTAGATGCTGATCGAACGGCGTATGTCTATGAAAGGGAAACTAACATATATGTTGCTATCTAGAGGTTACAGGCTGAGAGTTGGAATCATCACACACTGAAGACCAGAAGCTCCAACTGAGAAGAAGAGACAAGCATTCTGACGTAAGGAAGGCGTCGAAGGGGGAGCGCTGGACGCTGGCCGAAATTGTTCCTTAATTCTGACATAGTAGAGACATAAGAAAATGGGCTTATTATGCTTGACATGGGCAGTGGAAAAAAAGGGGGCGAGATGAGACAATTGGTCCTGTAAGGCTGGTTAAGTGTGATTTGTGTGCATAACTGAGAATTGTGCAATTCTGACATCTATGAGGCAAAATCGTGTGCTGATGGCAACACGCTCTATTACAAGTTTCCCTTTGAGCTCGCTATTGTTCAGCCGTGAAATCGTTAGATGGCTGCTGCCCGCTTGCAAAAGAACATGACTGAAAAAGGCATCTGCCAAAGCTTGATACTAGCCCTGATTCATTTTCACACTAATAATATGTCACTATGATTGAGGAAAAGAAAGAAGAAATAGTTATTACGTGGAGAAACAACCGAGAATAAGCAGGGCGATTAAAGGGCAGTAGTATCCCATAATGATCAGCTGCGTTCAAAAAGAAAACAGAACTGTATAATGATCGGCGGGCTGGATATGATGAAATATGATATCTTACTTCTTGAAAATGGAACATCAACTGCTTTGGGTAGCTAGTTCTGGCTGCAGCTTGATATTGAGAATAGATACATATCTACGGATCCACCGATCCATTCAATGTGAAACAATTTGACGATGATTATGCGGAAAATGCTCTCTAGCAGATGCGTGAACCAGTATTTCTACTCAACTTGCGATGATATCCAGTAAGTTTTTTCCTCTGGGGCATGATGAGCGATTAAGAGGAATCGTCCCATCGGCTGGGGACGCGCGGGCATGAAAAGGCAGACCCTGAAAGGGCGCCGGTGTTATCATAAAGTCAGTTTTCTGACTGAAAATAACAAGTCATAGCATGCCCTGCGTGGGTAATACAATAAGGGAAGAGCAGGACGAAGGGGCAAACAAAAATCCTTGAAACAATATTGTATTAAGACCAAGTTCCACAGTGATCAAATCGACGATCTGAATGAAGGCTGGAAAATGGCCGCTGAAAAGTTTGGAGAAAGATTAACCACCGCGAGACTGGTGAGGATCCAGAGGTGGTATGGTCCTAGAATGGCAGATCAGATTGTCAAAGAGGACAAGAACTGGCCTGAAAAATGGCCTTCATGCTCAGACTTATTCCCGAACCTTGGGATTTGAGCGAGGGAAGTCTGGAAAGACCCGATCCCAATGACCCCCACAAACGGTGGGAGGAGATCTCTGAATTGTCGTTTTCTTCATGCGCTTCCCCGCTGCTGGGAGATATGTCGATGTGGGCACAAGTGCATAGACTGGAAAAAGAGAGACAACATATTTGTAACCGGGATCGGTTTGCTCGTGCGAAGAAATTAGATGAGCAAAAAGCTCGGAAAGCCAATTAGCGCAGAGAGCTAAGGGCTTTACGACGTGAGCGGGACCGGAAGTTGAATCCCGATAAATATGAGCATAAACGAGCTCATAAACGCCAGCGCAAGGCTGAGATCAGGCGATTCTTCTCCGCAGGCAGTAGTCAAAAGGCACAACGCCTCAAGGCCAAGCAAGTGGCCGACGAGCTGGAACCAGCAAACCAAGCTCAAGCTTTTGCTGAGCTTGAAAGGAGCCAACCTCGACAAGCGGCCAGATGGGCTGATGAGTCGAGTGGAAGCGATAGTGGTGTAAACCGACTAGCTCGATTCGGTAGAAAATAGCCTGATAAGGCATCGCTGCCGTCCGAGGAGGCGAGACTACTGGAGAAGGCAAAGACCCCAGTAAAGGAGGCGAAACCATCAAAGGAGAAGAAACAACCTGAAAAAGCCAAGAAGTAGCCTGTCAAGGAAGGGGAGGAACCCCAAGGAACTCAAAGCAAAGTTCCAGGTAATATTACTGATGCAGTCACTCCTGTGAATCCTGTTGAGAGTACACATTTGCGTACTTGTGCAGAAATTGGAGATTTTGCTGGTAATGACAAAGTTGTGTACCTTGGATTAGCAGGCACGCTGGCCGATCCTATTCCTCGAGAGAGGAAGGAAGTTTATGCTGCTGTGAAAAGGCAAGAAACAACCTTTAAAAAGGCAAGGGCAGAAGCTGATAAGACTGCCCGACTGCTAGCCGTGATGGGTGAAGAGGATTATGCTGAGTTCCTGCAGTTCAAGGAATCCTAGCGTATAGGCCAACAACACAAAGGGTCTCCCCTTGGGAAGAGCGGTTCTGGACAGGAACCCCGGGAAATTGTTTACCGGCAGGGGAAGCCTGATCCAGGGTACTAGCAGCGCAGAACACAGCAGCATGATGTGGGACATGGACGAGCAAGGGGGCCACGCAAAATGTCCAGGGGGCCCACTCCCATGGTGCATACACCTGTGATACAAGACGCCCATGGGTTTTGGGACACGCTTAGGGCATTTCATGATCCCTTCGGTGGTGTGTACTACAAGGGGTACTACCATCCGAATGGTGGACGGGCCCCGTATCGTGCAGCAGTCCCACTTGACGTCCTGCAGCGCATCCCAGCCAAGCTGCATGGTTTGTTCGATGTGCAGCAAACGGCGCTGGGCATACATGCGCCAGAGGGCCAAGACGCAGCCACAGAGTGGTAGGCCGTCCAGAGGATGGGCAGGAGAGTCCCGGAGGAGGGGACTGTGCCTGTACCAGCTGGTCCCTCAGTACCGGTTCGTCCGGCACCTCAGCCAATGATGGCGCCAAGACAGCCGGCAGTGCCCTTCACAATGGGCCAGACTGGGCCATGGAGAATGCAGCCTCCGTTGCAGACTATGCTGCAGAAAATTCAAAGGCTGTAGCAGATGTCTCCCTTCGGTCAAGATCCGGCGACCTACCATGCGGCACACTACCCGCAACCATAGATGGCACATCCGTATTAGTAGCTCGAGAGGGTATAGCAGGCGGCAGTAGCCCCAAGGCAGCAGGTGATCCCATCACAAATATATGGAGAATTCTCCCATCCATCCAATTCGGGAGAGTTCGAAAGAGTGTTTGGGTACCCGTCGAGCTACATGCAGGCTCCTGAGCCACCGCACCAGGAACAGTTTGCCTCGGTAGCTAAAGGGCTGCACATGGTAGTGGATGGGGACACCGCCGCCGCCAACTGACTACGACCCCACGGGGCCTGGATATGTGGACCAGGGGTATCTGACGGCAGCGCAGGGAGTGCCATTTGTCCCTGTGTATTTGCATCCTGAGAGGGAACCTCAGGTGAGCATGCCTAAGATGAACAGTCAAAACATAAAACCCCCAAAGTGGAATGAAGATAAGCAAGCCTTGACCAAGTGGTTGTAGGAAATCATCATGTATTTCAAAACCACTATGGCACCCCGAGCACAATAGGG